GTGTGCGGGGAGGGGCGGCCAGCGGGGTGGCCGCACGCGCGGCCTGCTCTGCAGCCACCTGAGAGGCCAGCTAGCCAAAGTCAGATCAGCTCTGTGGAGATACCAGGCGGTGCTTTTAGAAGGTAAAACTGCTTTAATTTTGGAACGAACCTGACGAGTTGGTGCAGCTCTTTAATCTCTCAATTTTTCTTTTCTTACAGCAAGCAAGGATTTGGCACAGACATCCTATTTCATGGCTACCAACAGGTTGTTATCCTGAACCTCTTTGTTGCACTGTTGTAGCACACTATAGCTTCCTTTACTGCAGGGCCCCCTACATGTGTCTTACCCTTGTTGCAGCAGGAGACTGGGCCATCTACAGTGGTGGTACCTGCCTGTCTGCAGTGCGGTGTATTGTACAAGGGCCTGATGGCACAAAGGGGTTAAATGCACAATGAGAAGTGTAGTGCTGCTTTCTGATGACATTTTCTCGATTGTGAGTGCATAAGTCTAAAACTGGTAGCCTGAATAGCAGCTAAAGATTACAAAGAGCTAAACTTAACCTAGAAACCCGAGCATCTTGGTAAGTACAAAACTATTTTTAGTTTACACTTGTAGTTAATGGCAGTTTTCTCTTAACTTTAAGTATATTGATCCAATCTTAACTTATAAAATTGTAGTGGGCCTAAGCTCTTTTCAACTAGCTGATTTTTTTTTTTTTCTTTTCAGATAGACTAGTAGCAGTAGTCCAATGTTCTTCCTTTTAGAAACAGCTCTTTAATCTTAATATATAGTATTGAAACTTAAGTACTTATATAAATTAAAAGTTCTGGGATTCCAAATGGGGATTGTGTTTACATAGCCTGTTGTAGAAAGATTTTAGATTAGAATTAGAAAATTCTAATTTTAAGATTAGATTAGAAATTGATTTCTCAATTACTTCCATTTACTTCTTGCAAAACAACTTTGAGGCTTCTTTAAAAGGATTACATTACATGTAGATAGCTTTTTAATCAATATCTGCTGGTTATTAGAGCTCTTCCAAATATATACTTTTTGGTGGTTCTTGATGGGCGAGGTTCTATACTTGAACAAGCCATTGAGAAAAGTTGTGACAAAGCAGAGACACAGCCACTGTCTTTGTGCTGCTGCCAGCCAGAAGCTGAAGGCGAGTTCCCAGATATCACAAATCCAGGCCTAACAAAGCTAAGCCTACAGTTTATTTGGCTGCTGTGAAGCTATTGGGTGCCTTCTTCTAACTGTCTCATTCAGAGACTGCATAATCAGCTGTTTGGTTTTTACCACAGAGTTTTAATTGACTGTATTATGTTTCTTTGGTTTTAGTACTTAAGTACAGTAGAATAACTGGTAAATGTATTTACAGCTTATCGCAGTTTTTATAGCAAAAGCAAATTAAATTTTTCTGCCAGATACATGCCCTGCCCTTTGTTTTCTTAAGGCAGTGAGATATCTTATGAACTTAATCAGAAAAACATTCCATGAACTCATGTTTAACTGTTGTTGCTTGACAGGTCACCTAATTCTGTATGTTAATGGTTGATTTGTTTGGGTTTTCTGTTTTACATGTTTGATTTCCTTTGGTTCCTCATTACGAAATTTGTGCAACAGTCTTCACCTTACTACATTCTGTCTTCAGTACAAGCCTACAGTGATAGCTTGTGTGTGCATTCACTTGGCCTGCAAGTGGTCCAACTGGGAGATTCCAGTGTCAACTGATGGAAAACACTGGTGGGAATATGTAGATCCTTCAGTTACTCTAGAATTACTAGATGGTAAGTAATATTGCCTTTTCACAGCTTGAAATTCAAGGGTTTAGTAAAGTAAAAATGGGAGCATAGTATAGTAAGAGCATAGCCTTAAGCCTGAAATAAGTCTCTCTGACTTCACATGTCAGATCCTTGGGTGACAGAAGTGTAGGAGAGGGGAGAACTTTGGAAGAAAAACTTAGTTCTGAGCCCCTTTTTATTCGATGCTGTGGGCTGGGGCGTCCATGAACCTTTTACAGGTGCAGGTTAGAATCTTGCTTTTAAGCGCTTTCCAGAAGCAGGACAGAGATGGAGATGTACCAGTGCAAATCCCTGTGATCCTGTTCACTGTATGTATGTCACTGGCCCAAGTTTATGGCTTAACTGTTGCTGAAACAAACGTTCTTATAGCTACACATAGAATTGCTGTATTGTATGTAGAAGGTAGTTCTACAATAACAATTTGATGTAGCTTATATCTTAAACCCTTGTAAAACATTTTTTTTTCTTGTTAAATGGCTTCTTTCCAGACGAAAGCATATACCTAGAAGCTTACTATATTTTGAAGTAGTACTTAATACAGTGGAGTCTGAATTCAAGGCCTGTGTACACTCCTGTAGAGGAGCTGGTAGCTTCTGGGGCTTTCAGATCTACGTATTGCACTGTGTTAGTTCTGGAGTGAAACGTTTTCTGAGTAGTGGCGGAGGCATCAAGGTTTATAAGGCCCGGCATAGCTCCCCGTGGCCTGCTTTTTTTTGGTGAGCTTTTGTTTCTTAATGGAATTCTTTTGTTCTGAAAGTGAGAACTTCAGCAGAAGTCATGTGAAGCAGAACCAGCATGAGCTTGAAATTGCAAGTTCAGATATCTGAGTAGCCTTCTTTAAGTTGAACCTGTAGTTTCAAATCCCACCTTGCCTTGTCTTCTGGCTACTGTTTCACGTGTTTAGTAAAACATCCATTTAGATTTTTAAATCCCCCCAAGATGTTTACTGTGAGCTCATGGTGAACACCATGTAATTCTTCAAGCATTTATGGAGCTGGTATGTGTAATATAGGATCCTGCAGACCAAAGGCCTGAGGCATTTTACGCTTGGGAGCAACTTACTTTATAACTTGCTCATGGAGTTCTGGAGAAGCCAGTTCTTCCAGACTGCGAGAGATCTACAGCTGCATTCAAATTCTGACTCTACCTGATGGTTTTAGCTTGTACATAAAATTATATTTCTGTGGAAGTATTGCTGTTTGCAGCTGATGTGCATGGAGAGCTACATTTCCTTGTGGACATACCAGTTGCAAGGATCTTTGGGTTTTTAACTTAGCCAGCTACTTTACCTTGAACACAAATTAATCCAAAGCTGTTTACAACAGGGCTTTTCAAGGGTCTGCTGGCTTCTATTTTGTTAGAGCTGTTTTTCTTGAAGTTCAGTGGAATGACTGAAAAAGAGACTTAGAACATTAGATTCTAAAGGAAATGTCATACAGGAAGAGCCCAAACTGAATGGCATGTGTGTTATTTTAGGAGATACTGTCTGTACAGGTCCCTCTTGAAATTTTTGGTGTAATAAATCCAGATTCTGCAAGAGTGAAAACAAAATGTGAAACTGAACCCTGTTTTTCAGGATGTGTAGTGGTCAGAAGTCGGTCATAGTGAAATAACATTGCCTTTTTTAACACTTGTCTAACAAGTTTTTCATCAAATATCAGTTCAAATTTTGTGCAGCCTGTAGTAACCACTGCAAAAGCTGTATGGTGGTAGTTGGGGATGATGCTTAACGTTTAACCTGCTCGTTACAGAATGGGATGTCAAAATGGCTTTTTTTTTTTTCTCCTCAGAGCTAACTCATGAGTTTCTGCAAATACTGGAGAAAACGCCTAGTAGGCTCAAGAGAATTAGAAATTGGCGGGTAAGAAATTTTCCTACAAGAGTGTCTTGCTTATCTGTCTGTCCTCCAAGAGTTATCTTAGTCGCTCATCCAGGAGATGGGTTGGGAGGGGATGAAACCCTGAGTCAGCTTTTATTCTCACCTTAGAGCTGAATTAGAAAGTACTGTACATGTATTCTAAGCTGTGTGTTTTCTCACTGCTTTCCCATTTGCTCAGGCTAATCAGGCTGCTAAGAAACCTAAAGGTGATGGACAGGTATCCGAGAACTCACTTCTTGGCTCATCTTTGGTCCAGAATTCCATTTTGGTGGATACGGTTACTGGTGTAGCTGCAAACACAAGCTTCCAAAAACCATCGACATCATTTCCTGCACCGGTACCTCTGACCTCAGGAAGTATTTCTGTTCCAGACAGTCACGCACCTGAAAATTTGGCAATATTAGCTACAGGAAAGACAAGTACCTCATACAGTTTGGCATCACACCAGGAATGGCCTCAGCATCAAGAACAAACGAGGACAGAACAAATATACTCTCAGAAGCAGGAGACATTACCTGCTAGCCAGTACAACATGAACTTCCAGCCAGGGGCGTCCGTACAGTTGCACTCTGGAGTACATCACAGACCTGACAAACTTGCTGAGCATTCTACTGTCAAACAAGAATATTCTCATAAGTCAGGAAACAAACACCATGGACAAGTCGCCGCCCCTGTAATCATTCCTCAAAAAATGTCTTTGGATAAATACAGAGAGAAGCGCAAACTGGAAACCCTGGAGCTGGATGTGAGGGAACACTATGTGGCGACCCCCGGCGAGCAGCAGCACAAGAAACACGTGCAAGCACAGGCAGCCGGCAGCGCCTCTGTTACCTCCCCCATCAAGATGAAGATTCCTCTCGCAAATGCCGACAAGCCCGAGAAGCACTTGTCTGATAAGAAAGAAAAGGGCGGCTCGCTCAAACTCCGAATACCCATCCCACCCACGGAAAAGGGTGCCAGCAAGGAGGAGCTGAAGATGAAAATTAAAGTTTCTTCCTCAGAAAGGCACAGCTCATCGGACGAGGGCAGTGGGAAAAGTAAACATTCGAGTCCTCACGTTAGCAAAGAGCATAAGGAAAAACACAAAGAACACTCTTTAAATCGCCACCACAGCGTTGGTCATAAGCACGCCCATTCCCACGGTGGTGGCGGCAGTAAGCATGGCGCTGACGGAGTAGCACCAACTGTTTTGAGGAGTCCTGTTGGCCTGAGTAGTGATGGCAATTCCTCTAGTTCCGGCTCTTCGAGAAAGAAGTTGCACAGCAACGATGCTTCTCACAACCACCACTCCAAAATGAGCAAAAGTTCCAAAAGTTCAGGTAGTTCATCTAGTTCTTCCTCTGTTAAGCAGTATGTATCCTCTCACAACTCTGTTTTTAACCTTCCCTTACCCCCTCCTCCCCCTGTCACATACCAGGTGGGCTACGGACATCTCAGCACCCTCGTGAAACTGGACAAGAAACCAGTGGAGAACGGTCCTGATGCCAATCACCAGTACAGTACAAACAGCCAGCATATGGACTACAAAGATACATTCGACATGCTGGATTCGCTGTTAAGTGCCCAAGGAATGAACATGTAGTCAATTCTTAGGTTGTTTTTCTTTACCTTTTTTAATTTAAGAATCGTTAGAACGGAAAACTTCCTAATCTAGCAGTAGCAACACCAGCGGTTGCTGCCGTGGTTTCAGTTTATGTAAGTGCTGCTTTATCCTTCACTCTGAAAAGAAGAGGTGTAGTAAATGAGTCTTTATCTCCACATACGGTAGTGTTATAAATACTGTAATAGCATGGAAGGTGCAAACCCCTCAGTATTTTTACAACTGCAGCTAAGACCAGTAGAATGAACGTCTGCTTTTAGGTGTATAGGATGCCTCAAGCATTGGTTATTTATGATTTGGAATACCGCAGCCAGGACTTTTTGTTGCATAGTTTTTGAATGAGTGTACTTGTTTTCTTGTGTATTTATACTGTATGTATGATTTGCATGTTTCGAAGATAAAGGGATTAAAAACAGTATACTGACAACTGTTTACAAGAAAGTGGAGAAAAATGTACATACATTTTTGTATGTTTAGATATACCATAAATACTCAGGATTGGAGCTGCTTGTAAGTATAACGAAATACACATAACTTTATTTTATCTTGCCGGAGTCCATCAGTTCCCCAGACAAAGATGGCACTTCGTCTTGTTTATCTTTAACTGTAGGCCTTACTGAAGCCGCCTAGAAGGGACTCTCTGGCTCACTAGAGAAGGTGCCCAGTGCCACGCAGGGCCGCTGCCAGACAGGGCTACCAGGGAGGCAGGACGCCGGGCAGGGCTCTGCTCGCTCACTGTGGCCAGACCTCAGAAATGTCCCTAGTTCTCTGAAGGAAAAAGGAATTAAAATAAAAGTTTACATAATCCTTTGATGTGAAGTGCATTTAAGTGTTTATTGGCTTGATGCAGTAAAATAGACACAGAGCTGTTAATAATGGTTATGTAGATTAATGTGACCTAACTGTGATTCCAAACTGTCATTGTGGGGAAATCATCTTTTTTAAAAAGAGTCATTTTATTTTAATAGTAAACAGGGGTCACTGTTCCCATTATCATTTCAGAATAATACCCATGTTCTGAAATCAAAAAAAAGTGTGCTTTTGTGTGATGCCGTACTTCTTTTACAGGCGAATGCAGTCTTCACATAAGCATAAAACTATTGATATCCCAACTTTATATTCCAACAATAAAATAGTTATCATTGATTTCGTGCATTGTACTTGTCATTAGTTAACAAATTGGAAGATACTTGTTCTTTCAGCTCTGTGGGGGTTTAAAAAAAAAAAAGAGGGGGAAAAAAAAAAGGCATCATGTCTCCCAGTTAAACCACTAGCACCATTTTTATCTGCCTGCAAGTGTCGGTGCGATGGCTCGTGCGCTCGTCCCAGGGTGTTTGCTCTTTGGCAGAAATGACAGGTATGAATGTTCTGGTCTTCTCAAAGCCAATACTACAGCTCAGTTGCCCGGAAAGCACTGGTCTGACTTTCTGGGTGTCTTTCAAATCAATTCATAAGCTATAAGTACCTCAACATGAACTCAGTATGTAGTAGCAACAGCCAGTTTTTGGTGACTTCTCAGAAGTGAACAAGATGTGAAGCAGGCGTTGGCTAAGTCACCTCATTCCCTCGGCGCTCAGAGGACAGGTCTGAAGTGTAGCCCTTTCAGTTATGTTACTCATGTGTGCTTTAAATGATAAAACTCTTTGATAACTACCCAGCTGGTAGTTGCTGTATTATGTAACTACAGGTATATCAATTACTATGTAATACTCTGTTTCCAGTAATGCAAACACTTGTAATTACTTGAATAAGTTTTATTTGAACTATGGATACTTTTTTGTTAAACTTATGGAATATTTAAATAGAACCCAACTGCTTTTTCTGCTAACTCCAAGTTTAAATCTTGGCCTGTGTAAAAATTCCAAAGCTGTCTTCTCCCTACCAACTTGGTTATTTTTCTACATTCAGAATGTAACTGCTTGTTACATACTAATGCATTGTGGAATATTTTCTATCCTTTTATAGTCTGTTTCCTTTCCGTCTTGGCGCTACTCTTGGGTCTGATTTTTAACTGGTGTAATCTGTGTTACATACTGTCCTAAACTATAGCATGGGCAGACAGATGAAATAACAGTCAATTGTCTTCATTTTAATTTGAAGCACTACAGTCCTTTCTTTTTGAGTCTAGTTTTATAGTTTTGCCATGAAATGCATCTTATACAGCCACTCTGGATAAGCAATATATTGTACTGTAAATATAGCAATTGCTGTCATAACTTGGAGTTAAAATGTCTGGATGGTAACTAGTGCCTGTCTAATATAAATGGGAAAAGAGCATAGGCCTTCATCCTAAGGTGCTGTTTCAAAAGAAATATTTCCTATTTTGATTCCAGGAAATTATGAAATATTGTAGACAAAATGTTGCTATGCTACATTGAGAACCAAACAGTGATTTTTGGTTTCTTTGTAAAGGATTTCCATAAAACTCATCGGTGTTTGGGTTTTCAATGTAATTGTAAATAAGTGAAACTGTATGTGTCTTTGTGTCTGAACCTGAATTCAGTGTGGTGATAGTAGGGGCTGAGAGGGTATGCAACAACTTGCCACTAGTTTTCCCTGAGTGAAACCCCCTGCAGACTGGGGGAGTGTGTCAGCTGCAGCCTGGCAGAGGTGTTTGAAACAAATGAAAACTCATGGAAGTGGCATCAGCCTCACAAATGAATGACTGAATAAATGCAATAAACGGCTAACGGACAACACTCTGTTCATCACTTGGATTACAGATTTTTTTGTTTTGCTATAAATTGGAGTACATGCATTATGTAATTTGTAAAATGATGCTGTAGTGGAGACCTTGCTACAACACTATTAAAAAACTTCCCTTTTTGTGAGATATGAGGTTTGTAGAATAGTGAGATTCTTTCATATGCTGACTCTGACCCTGTTCCTGATGGGAGTGCTGAAGTCATGTATCTCACTGTGATCTGGTACTGGTATTTGCATAAAATGGCAGTTCTGTATATTCTTTTGGCTAACTGTAAATATAACTGTTTCATATTAGCATAGTTGAATTTTTGAGGTACAGCCATTTCTGTGAGATTAGAAAAAAAAAAAAACTTTATTTCTAAGAACTTGTAAAAAAAAAAAAGTATTTTCAATAAAATTCCCTACCTCACCTTTACTGTGCAGAAATTATCCCATTTTCCTATGCTTAACTTGCCAACTTCATTTCTAAACACAAAGAAGGTCCCTTCTCAGTCATTGGCAAAACATTGCTATTCTTCATCAAATCAATCCAATAGCAGAGTGCTTGAAAGTCTGAAGTCCAATTTGTTTCCTTTGCATTAGGAGGATTAGTATTTGATACCTGAAAAGCAAATTCCAGAAATTGTGCCATTTTAAGCTGCTCCCTCACTCTACACTGAGGTTAAGGGCCTGTGCCCTGTAATTTTATTGTATAGTGTCTGGCCATGCTTGATTTTTTTTTTTTTTTTGAGGGGGGATGGGCTGGGTTGCAAGAACATACCAAGGATCTTCCTAGGATCTTGGAAGCAAAGGTTCCCAATCCTTGTTTTGCAGTAAAGGGGACTAAACAAACACTTCATTTGCCTCTTATTAACTGGGATGTAAATGCACATTCCTATAATCAGTTCTAAAAATAAATGTCTTAAAAGATGTTGGAAGGCAGGCCAAACTGAACTAGCTAATTAATTCCTCCTTATTCTGAAATGCTGAACGCCTTACACCTTAAAAAAAAAAAAAAAAAAAAATAGAATTAATGCTGGGAGTGTTGTCTTGCATTGCTACTGGGACTGTTTCTCTGTTGTCTCCTGAGGTGGATATAGCAAACCTAAATCAAGTTTTTAACCTTAAAAGTGTCAGTGTTTTCCTCTGTCTTTCTCCATTTATGACAACACAATTTTTTTCCTACCATAGTTCAGAGATTGTGTTCTTTGCAAAGACCTCTAAAGTTTACTCTCTGAAGCTATTTCATGGTGTGGGTCCCTGTGGGAAGTGGAAAGTAGGGGGGAAACGGTGGTAATGCTGGAAGCCCTTCCTCAGGAGAGCTCTTGTTCTGTTTTATTCGCACGCAAGAACCACAGTTTTGATAGGAGGTTTGTAGAAAATCCACAAAGTTAAGCAGAAACTGAAGCCAAAAGCATTAATTTTGAACCCAAACAATCATAAAAGACTGTTTTTTCTGGGCACAGTGTCTGTTTCCATGGGAAGAAGGGTTGGTGCATGTATATTGAGATGTAAATTTTTACATCCTATTGCTGTTTGTAGTCTCGGGAACAGTATAAAATAGATGGGTTGGCATGCCTAAGACCTCTCCCTTCTGAGATCTGAGCAACAGCTCAGAGCTTTAAAGAGCACTGCACAAAAGAAACAGTGGCTATCCTCTACTGTGACAAAAGGACAGCATATTTTTGGGTTCTTCAATTTAAGCTCCAAAACTTGAGGAAACCTGGCAGCACAGCAAAGTGGTCATACCTACTACTTGGCAGCCTGTGTGCTTTGTAGCAGGGTCTTCACTGTTCCTAGAAATTAAGACCACGCTCCTTTGAAAACAGTGAGGCTTGCCATGCTCAAATACTACAAAAGTAATGAAGCAACTGTGACCCTCCTCACCTGAGTCACTCCTCGTTGAAAATAGAGGTTTTTAGGGTTTCTCCCCTTTTCCCTTATTACATTAGATACCTTATTACAGGTATCCGAATTACCTGGATTGTGATGTGAAAAATCTATGATCTCGTCAAGTAAGAAATACGTTAGACTTGTGGCCCAAGTCAGTCCACCCCAAGGTGCTTCCTGGCCAGCAGTGCTGAGCCCAGCGCCAGGGACACAGCCGCTCAAACGAACACAAAACATGTCCTGTCATACTTTGGTTAAAAACTCAGGCCAAAGTTTTACAGACTTTCAACTTGGAGGCTAATTTTAGTGTCATTAACCAAATTAAAGATTACATTTAAACTGGAAATAACTATTAATATTAGAGAAATCAGACTTTAAAATAAAAATGTTAGTTTTGCTTAGAAGACATGTCCATAAGGAGGGGGTTTTGTAATTGGGATTGTTTTTTTTCTAATTAACTGTATATTCTAGGTAGAGCATTGCCATTCTTTCTCTGCTCATGACTGCTGTCACAGTTTCATTTCATGCTAAATAAAACCTCATATTTACTTTGCAGTGTTGTTGGAGACACTATCTTAGTCTGAGAAGAGTTAAAATACATCATGGAATTATGTACATCCCACCTGAGTTCACATGCAGGGCTCCTGCTTTTATTCTGCAAGGTACTTTAATGTGAAGATAATTTAATGTGAAGATACTTTAATGTGAAGTTGCCATGGAGTTTTGGCATGAGGACCAGCCAATATTCCTCAAAATGGGACTGTTAACTGTTTGAACTTTGAAGATTACTGTGATGTTAGGATTTCTCTTATACTGGCATAATGGTCTGTCATTGTTCTGTGACATTATACCTACAGAAACTTAATAAAGACTTTTGCTAGAAGTACAATCAGTATTCTCTCTGCTTTTATAAAGTTTAGAAAAACTCTCTGAAATCAGGCTACAGGAAAAAAATAAAAGTTTGAAAGCTATTTAATTAACTAAAATGTCTAGTGCTTTGGGGAAAATTGATTTTATATAAAACTTAGAACCTCCTTCTTTCCTTGTAGTAAAATACTTTTAGTGTTAGTGCTGGCACAGAAGTCAGGGTCTTAAATTCTCAGCCCTTAACAGTTGGGCTGCATTTTAGTGCAGCTCTTTATGGAGCCTAGGTGCTCACCAAGGCACCAAGGGTGTCTCATTTCCTTGAAGTTTTAAATTTGAAAAATACTCCAGAAGAAGCCTTATCAGAAAGAGGACAATCTAAATACTAATACTTGATATATATTTTTTGTTTTGTTTTGTTAATATATAATAATATTTGAATTTTAACTTTGTGCAGTTAGTAGTAGCTAGTTATACTAATGGTAAAAATTATTTTTGCTGTGCAGATGGCAACTGTTACATGTCCTCTAATTACACACTGCTCACCCAAGAGTTTCTCAGAACAGTTCAAGTTTCAGAAACAAATTTGCTGCTCTATTTCAGCTTAAGGATATTAAAAAATAGCAGTAGTGATTCAAACAGCATCTTACAGCCTTTGCAGACAAGAGCAAGGTAATGCTGCTGTGCTTTTGCTGCTGTTCCATGTCAGTCAACAGCCACTCTGAACACAAAAAGGAGCAGGTTCAGGGGAACTGCATCACTGTGTAGCAGCACCTGACAGAGCAGCAGGGACAAGTCCAGGCCTCAGAGCTGCCAGTGACTCAACAAGAGGCAATGGGCACAACCTGACACACAAACATGAAAACATTTTTACTCCGAGGACGGTTGGAGGCTGGAACGTGTTGCCTAGAGAGGCTGTGGAGCCTCCATCCTTCCTGATTCTCTGAGCCAATGGGACAAGGGCCCAGGTAATCCGCTTCAGCCAACCCTGCTCTGAGCAGTGGGATTGGACTAGAGCATCTCCAGAGGCCCCTTCCAACCTCAACCATTCTGGAACCTGAAACTGTCCACAAAATGCACTGCTTCATTGGGAAAAGACAGCCACAAAGTTTAGATTCGTAATTCTAGCCAGACTAGGAAATGATCTTGCTGTGAGCTGAATAAAGATGCCCGTGTGTGCACCTGGGATCTCTTCTCCCTATCACTACCACATCTCCTACTGATATGGTACCTCAGTAACAAAGGACTGACACATGTATGCAAAAACTAGTCAGGTATTTTTCACCAGGTAAAAATTGAAGGGCCTATCTAGCTAATTAAAGCTTCAGTACATTTTATGCTGATATGGTTATATGGTTTGGGGTTCCTATGGGATCCTTACAGGTACACTTAAAGACATATCTACACATTGGAGCAGAGCTTTCACAGAACTTTCAGCATCTACAATGTTTTCTCCAATAGCACACCTTCCAGGGTTTTACAGACAAACTGGCATTCCAACTTACCTTGCCTGTCACATACCACTGGTGGTGATGTGTGGTTCTTTCTCTTAAAGTCTCTCCAGATACAACCAAATGGGGCCATGTGTCCACAGGGAAGGAAAGCCCACTCCAATGAGCACAGATGTTGGAAAAAAATGTTATTTTAATCATATTGCTGTCAATAGTTTCCTCGACCCAATTGCTCTCCAGTTATTTCTGCTGTTCACTTTTAAATCCAGTTCTTTCTGATCTTTTTTTCACAAGTGCAAATCTTCTATATGGAAAATGTATACTCATCCGGCAAGAGTTTTGAAAAATTCACTCTCTTCCTTTCACAAAGGGATGGTCCAGCAACTGCAGAGCAGAAGGGCGTTCATGTTGATCTCTGCATGGAGGGTTTGGAAAATCAGTACAAAAAATGAACATGCATGCCTGTGATGTAACTGTTTATAAAATCTAAATGCAAACTTAGCCTTTTTATTTCTCTCTAATTTCTGCAGTCATTACTCATTTTTAGTTGGGTTTTGTTTGTTTGTTTATAAAGCTGGTAGAAACAACAGTGGCATTTACAGGAAGAGGTGTTGGAATTTATGAATTGTAAAACTGAAAAATTTTACAATTAGAAAAATAATTTTTTGTTCTGCTAAAATCCTTGCAAAACTTTGAACAATTCTGCTAATGTGGCTGTTTCAGGTGCACTAAAAACCTCTTTGAGGAGGGTCCCAATTATTAGTTTGATCCAGCATCAGTCAGGCTGTTCTGTCCTCTCCAATCAATATCATGCATGTCAAGGAGCCCATAAGAAACTACAGCACTGTAATTACAGTATGGGCTTGCTAAAGCCAAGGACTTTGGGCTTTTTTAACCCTCAACTTGGAGAAAAAAAACACAGGGGAAGGAGTAAAGGACACTGATTTCTTAAATACTAAACTAATGGGGAAGATGTGATAAGAGAGGCATGTGTATTTAGGGCATGGTGAGATCACATATCAAAATATTTTTGCCACAGGTGCACGCTAACATCTGAAAAAGTAAATATTTATTTGAAAAGGTAAATGCTTTATAGCTCTGTTTCCTTCTATGCAACAATTTCTTCTACCTTTGAAACACTGTTCTCTCTGAATTAATATATGATCTCACTATACACAGTCCGCAGCTTTTCTGGTTATTGTCATATTATCCACAAGAACCATAACCATACCATAACAGTTCTAATCCATGGTTTAGAAATCAGGTTTCCTGCCTCCCAGACCACCACCACACCCACTAAATAGCAAGTTTCTCTCTAGTGCTCAAATCTGGTCTTTGTAGAGATATGTAAAAGGCTGCTATTAATTTTATAAAGGCTACCTGTAGAGGTGAGCAACTTAGGTCTTGAAATGGATAGTCCATTTAAACATCTGGGACAAAGATGATATTCAAAACAAAACACACAAAAGTATTTCTTATAATAGGTGAATGCTAGTGGGTTGGTTTGTTTTTTTAGAAATCGTTACGTTTTAAATAAGTATGTATTTCCTGGACTGGCAGTGATAACAGATGTTTCTACTGCAGAAGATAAGAATTGAAAGCTCTTTCATTTAGAATATTGTCCTCAAAACAATTTGCCTGAGATGGGCCAGACGCGGCCAATGTGACACTGGCACAGCAAGGCACATCAAACATTTTGTCTAAAACTCAATGGTGCCATGTTTCTGCATAAAAATTACAGGGAAAGTAAAGGGTGAGTATAAGGCCTACAAAAAGAAAATTACCAAGGGTTTTTTTATACCGAGAAATTACCAAGGGTTTTTTATAGGGAGTAAAGCTCTTTTATGTATAGTATTATTTAAGGGCTTTCCTGAAATACTGATACACCTATGCATTTACCACAGCTCTATGTGCCATCTAAGAGGTACACAAGTTCCCATCAGCAGTCTCTACAATACAAACTACATGCATCTCTCCCTTGGTTTCTGAGCTGAAAGCCCACGTACCTGGTGAAGCAAGCGCGCACGAAGTCCGCTGCCGCGCCGGAGAAGCGATCGGGCAGGGAGGGCATCAGCCCCCGGTGGGCCCCGATGTAGAACATGGCCGCTACCCTGTCCATGGAAGCCAGTGGAGGTTTCCCTGTTGCCATCTCAAACATGGTGCAGCCGATGCTCCAGATGTCTGATTTTCGGCCATAGCCAGACTCATTAATCACTTCTGGTGCCATCCAGTATGGAGTGCCATGCACAGACTTGAGCATCTCGCTCTGCGTGCCGCTGAGGCTTACCCAAGCTAAACGCCTGGCGCAGCCAAAGTCAATCAGCTTCACTACGCCGTTTGGCATGAGCATAACGTTATTGCCTTTGATATCTCTGTGGACCACACAATTGTCATGCAAATATGCAACCCCCTGTAGAATTTGTTTTGTGTATTTACAAAGGACAATTTCTGGCAATGGACCAAAACGATTAATAATACTAGAAATTGAGCCACCGGGTACAAATTCCATGAAAATGCTTAAAATGTTGTCTTCCAAACAAGTTCCTAAATAAGTTACGATATTGATGTGCTTCAGTGTCTTCAAAAGGTCAACTTCCTCGTGAAACTTCCGGTACTCCTTCTCTGTAGTGAGCTGATCTGACGTATCCAGAACAACCTGCTTTACAGCTATTAACTGGCCGTGGCTTGTCAGACCGCAGTACACCTGCAATGAAATGAGCGTTTATTAAGAGGAAGCATGAAATAAACCTGAGTATTTAGTTCTTTTCAATAGTATATTTATGTTTGGCATGTTTCATGTCTCATTGTCTAATCCAAAATATTCAAGTTATTTGTTGAACAGGACTAACAGGTTGCTAGTTATAAGGCAAGTTATAGCTCAAAGGTGTGCAGCACATCTCTTAACATATTCCCCCATAAACTTACCGTGCCATAGGCTCCCTTCCCAAGGACTTCACCTCTTGTCCACATGACAGGATCTTTATTAGTTAAACTGCTTCCTGGTAATTTAGTAGATTCCTCAAGGTTTAGCAGGTCACTTACTTCATTTGATGCCAAAAAGGCTTTCCTGTTACTCTGCTTGAAAGATGATGGTCAGTGTGGAGAGAAATCAGGGAGGAAAATAAAGGCTTCACATTATTCTCACATTGTTTATAAGGAGTAATTTTTACCAGGCATAACTCTTCTCTAGAGACTTTATATATATATATATACTCGTTGCCCAGCTCATCAATAAAATTACTATACTAAGTAAGACTATGTAAATCTTCCCAAATATGTATCACAATAGTGCATAGCCATAAGACTATGGCATGACATCTTTTTTCATTGACAGGAAGACAGACAGAAGAAACACTTAAAAAAACCAGACTATACATCTGCTTACTTTTTTTTTATTTTCTGTCACATAGGTACAGTTTGCTAAGCTGAAGGGTGAAGATGACTATTGCCTTGCTGTAGATAACATACATAACCCAAGTCTGATGAAAACAATTTGGACATGACTTCACAGGAAGAGACTGCTTCAGAAAGGTGGAAATTACCCCATGTGGTCCTGGCTTTCCCTAGGAGTAGTGAGAATGGAGGTGTAACTGACACCTGTGTCAACATAAGGAAGTGTATCAACCTGTAGTGTAAGAAATTTCCTTATAAATTTGTAATTTAAATGGACAAAAAGCTAACAGAGGTAAGGAGAAGCAGTACTGCTATGCTGGCAGATAAGCACCTTATTAAGTGAAGGTTCTTAACGGAATTGCAGTCCAGAATCTAAGGACTTGAAGTTTTGATCAAATATTAAACAGCCTTAAGACTTCCTGATAAGCCAATCTTTGTAGTTCATACCTACAGAACCATACCTTCAAGAACAACTCAAAGAAACTACCCTTCTGGATATACAAGAACCATTTGTGGTGTCTTTTCATATTTGTCAGGTGTCAAGAACTCAACAGCTTTTGCCTTGCCCCAGCACCTTTTTATACGTGCTCTTCAGTTAAAATTGCCTCTTGTTTTTATGCAGTACAATTTCTCAATTTATCTTGACCCACCACATAAGCTATTGAGAGCTATTCCTCTCATGCCCTGGTACCATCTGGCTTGTGTCCTGACATGCAGCCTCTAACATGGGTTTCCTCAACTGAGCACTGGAAGAATCGGTGGGCAGCTGGCCCAAGGAAAAGAGACTTGACCATTAATGAACACATATTTCCTACCTTTCATCTAAACTTGTGTTGAAGCATCAATCAAACAAGCTAAAAAGTTAAAAGAAATTACTTTTACCTTCTCTAGAGCACTATTTACTATTGCTCCATCTCCATTCCTCTTACTTTCTTCTTCTGTATTATGTGTATTTTGCATTTTAGAACTTGTGTTTTTTGTTCTTGAAGAGTTGATGTCTCTTTCTTCAAGCATTAGCAATTCTTCAGCCAGACAACAAAGCATCTCGTCAGTCACATCCTTATTATCTACACAGGACAAACTGTTTTGACTAGTCTGGAAACTGGTGTTTGTAACGCTTTTTGCCTGAATTGCTGAAGGCTGAGTAAATCCATTTGCCACACCACTGTTTTGAGGCGTGTAATCCCAACTGTGATTTAATTTTCTTGTAGGGGATAGACACTCCAGTCTATCTGAGAATGGCAACACTTCACATTTATTTATAGACTTGAAGGAGGCCTGGTCTAATTCCAGGCCATTGCAGCCTTCTGCATCCACCCTCCACTGGGGTACACAAATGCTCTGGTCTGCTGTTATGAGGTTGCTACTTAGAGCAACACATTCTCTGTAGTCTTTATCACTGAACTGAAGAAGATTCTGGCTACAGGTGGCAGATCTCTGATGGTTGGATATATCCTGATTGTCTAAAGACTGCTCCAAAGAAACTTCTGTAATAGTTAATAAGTCTGAATTTGAAAAAAAATAATTTTTCTTAGCTAATTGTGAAAGGTCTTCTAAAAATGTAAGCTGTGTAAAATGACCTGTGTCTTCATGAAACAACGTCATGCTCCTTGAAGTGTTTATTGGAAAATCTGAATCACAAGTTATTACCTTATCTTGTTCAGTGTTGCTATCATTCAGCTTGATACTTCCATCCTTTGTAATCAAACCTTTCTGCTTTTGTTTAGTGCCAGGTATGTTCTTCTTTGGCTTAGAATACGTTCTCTTTGGAGTATTTCTTCCTCGGCTGCTCTCTCTTCTTTTACTGCAGGTAGATCTGCAGGTGCTAGCAGGGCATCTCCCAGGTGGAGCAGCACAAACATCTCCATAAAATCTCTTCTCACGTTCATCAAGCTCACGTGTGTGGGAATAGACAGGAGTTCCAAACATTTCATAAATCCCTGGGCCTTGGTCATTTGAATTTATTTTCTTGAACATGTCACTGTATTTCAGATCTGTGAAATCTGAAGCAGGCTGTGCATGGGGTAGAGAAAGTGGAGTAACAGGTTTCTTTAAGATAACTGAATTTTTGCAACTGCAGGGGAAATTTTGCTTTTTAGGTTCCTGAGCACTCTGAGCAAAGTGTTCTTTCTCTGCTTGAGATAATTTTTTTTTAAAAATCTGACTCTTGGCATTACATTTTGTGGAAAGCTCATCAGAAACAATTAAGTCTTCAGGAGTATTTCTCTTGCTACTCATTTTAGAGTTTGATGAATATTTCTTTCTATTCATCCTTATTTTACTTTTGTCATTTTCTTTGTGAGGAAGAATGTTGAAGCTCTGAGTAATGTGAGGAGGTAGACTATGAATTATACTCATTTTTGTGGCAGATTGTTTAGCAATGTGTGGTTCCTTTGCTGGTTCTTCTTCAGAGAATGTAACATGAATAACAGGTACGAGCTCACTTTGGTCTTTTGAAGTTGCTTCTGACATTGCTTCTTTTTCCATTTCAAATTCAGAGGGACAAATATTATTTTCTGTCTGTTTTCCAGAAGGATCTTGCAATTCTTTTCTGGGAATTACTGCAGCTACAGAATTATCTCCTAAGGCCTCTGTCACTTCAGTTTTACAGGAAGAATTTAGATCATCGCTGTCAAGCTCAAAGTTCACACTCTCAGCATCTTCATGTGGTCTGTAGTCCAACATCATCTCTATAGGTTTTCCTTCTTCTAGACCAGTTCTACAACTCTCTGCTCTTCTTTCCTTCTTGCCATCTCTCAAGGCATCTCTGTTGCTTGACATTGTAAATGTCTGAGCTGTAAATATTCCACAGTTTATCAGAGGATTATTTGAGCTCAAGCAGGGATGGCTATTATCATAGTAACTGGCTTGGGTCATGAGATCTGCATTCTTACAAGCCACTGAAAACTGGTACTTCATCTGGTCATTCCTGTCAGTATCGGTAACTGCATCAGCTTCTCTCCATTTTAGATTGCTTTGAATTCCTTCTTTTTTGTTCCTAGGGTCCTTATAATAGTTACTCATGCAGAAGTAGTACAGGTCTGTCACTGGAGTGAACTTATCAGAAATAGTAGCCAGAATCAGGTTTGATGACATTTCAGTGTGCCTTTTTAACAGACTGTCTAATTGATAAAATTCAGTAACTGTTTTTAAAGGTGGAGGAACAGAGTTCATAATATTAAAAATATTTCTGAGGTTGCTGTTTTTGTTGACAATATTATCCTCTAGAGGAGCAAGAAGAATTGTTCTTACAGGCTGCAATGTCACTGTTGGCAAATGAAACTGTAATTTCCATAAAAACCATTAATAATATACTACACAAAAGATACAAGTAAGATCTAATCACTAAGAAACAAGTAGACTAAGAAAAAGAATCAGAAAAGGATTATTCTTATATATATTCTCATAATTAACCTAATATGAAGTGTAATATCAAAACCCTGAGAAAATAGATGCATTTTCTCACATCCATATGGAATCTTCTCAAATACAAAGTTATTTCTAAGTATTTCATAGTACATAAAGTGGCATCCCTTGCTGTAAGGTACAAACCATTATCTGTGATTTAAAGATAAGAAGCTTTGCCCACACATACAAATAATTTTGTCAGTTATTAACTATGTCTTATGCCACCTGGCACGTTTGCTACTGGAATTCAAAGGCTGGTCAGTGGCTTCACATGCCAAAGTTCCATCTTGCTGTGCTCTCTCACTGAATGAGAGCACCACTCTTACACTGACACTGGAAGTCTTTGTAGGTAACCCTCCAAAGTGTGCTGACGATGGTAATTTTATTCCAAATGGAACTAGATGTCATGTAAGCAATTTTTAAAAAGCAAAAGCTAGACTATCATAACAATGTTATTTTATTCAAAGAGAAAATGATTCTTACAAGTTATTTCTAGGATTTAAAAGACATTATTATAAATCTTAACATACAGATTTTCCATATGTTTAGCGTAGTCTTTAAAATTCCATAAGCCATGTTCTACAGGCCACAGATGTAGCTCACAGAGTTTGAAGTAGGCTGGAAGACAGCACAGTCTGCACTTCACTGTCAGTGAAGCTAAATAGTTAGCTACCCAAAGGCCGTTTCAACACAGCAGCTAACACAGAATTCTGTTGTGGGGAGATGTATTTTTTTTGTTCCTCCCTTTTTCCTACTCTTCCCATCCCATTAGCCAAAAGGTACTGCATATCTTTGAAAGCATGTAGATCTGAGAATCTGAGTTCTTTGTTGTGACTATTCAGATGAACATGGAGAATAACTTTCTGAAAATAATATTTCTGTGCTTTTATAGGAAATGAAGAAAAAATAAGCCTGAATATACTGCATATTTTTATGCAAATGAATGCAATAGAAATAATCACACAGTCATATTTTCTGAGAACTCATTTGCATGTCTATATTCAACATCACTTTGCAATCTGCAGGAAATTTTTGTTTGCATTCCAAGGGCAAACTGAGGCTTGAATGTGCCAGGAAAAGCAATGTGTGCTGGCTTGAAATTTACAGTTCTGAAGGCTTTGTCTAGTGTGCGTGACTTTAATAGGAATGCTCAGTTTATCTCAGATGATAGGCCTCTAGAAATCATCAGAACCACTAAATAAAGTTGTATTAAGTCACACTGAGGTCAGCTAAATTATTTTTCTTGAAGGTTTCTCTCCTTTTGAAGCATTTTTTCCATAGTCCTTTTTATGATCTTCTGTGAGAACACTTTCTATAACTTCACCTTTTTCCTGTGAATGCTGTTATATTCTGTAGTGGGTCCACACAAGTATACAGCTGATTCAATGAATCAAGTCTTTTGTACAAAGGGCTGTTTTTTAATATCCATAAAGACCAAATTACCTTTTTTTCTAAATACAGTATATTTGATCTTTTGTAACTGTTAAGGCTTATGTGGTGTAAAGCACTGATATATTTAAAATTATTAGCTTGTTCATAAGTACAAAAGTTTTATGTGGAATCTTATTTACACTTACCACAAAATTTCATGTAAAATAGTTTTAATTTTGATCCTCACACCTTATTTTTTATTTGCTAACACAATACATTTCAGCAATCATCTAATAGCAAGACCATTCTTCAGTTTAGCATCAATTTTAAACTCCCACTCAATATAAGGAAATGGTTTGTTTAATTTGGCAAAACTAGACATTTAACATGCTTAACATATAGGATGCACATATTTTAACTTATGTAATTCTATTTTAAAAGGCTTTATATCTTTTTGAACTTCCAACCTTTTACACCCCAAATCCCTGATGTAATATCTTCCTGACAAATTGTTTATATACATCTGAAGATTTTCTGACACACATATATAAAATATATGTAAAAATACTTCATGTTCATCCAAAAAAATAAAGACTAAGCAAACTACCTACACAGTTTTTGTATTTCTGTTTTTAAGGTTTTGAAAGCATGTAATATTTAACAGTGTTCATTTTTATACATAATGGCATCTTACCTCAGGTCTCCTGTTCCTGGTTTTTAGCACTGTTATATTTAAGCCTTAAAAATCAAAACAAATTAAATGTTAATTTGATATTCTTAAAACAGACTACAATTTTCATTTATAAATTATTTTCAAACTGTCAGGGGTGGGGACCAGGAATCTGCCTGGTGTGTGGTTGCAGGACTATGCTATAAATCCACTACACAGAAAATGGTTAGAAGTTGAAATTTAATTGTGATACTGAACTTTGCAATTCTATTTTCTATAGAAAATTATAAAATATTATAATTTAAAAATACTTTGACTCTAATAATTTAAGCAAATATTCCTCTGCAATCTCAGATGTTTGCTTACTTCAATATGTGGCTAATTAATATTGCCAACATGAGGAAAAAAGTAAAAGAGATGCCATCATGGCCCCATTTCAACTACAGAGATTTACACTTGCATTTTGGGGGCTCAGAGTAAGAGGACCAGTGAAGTCTGTCATTGCTCCTTCATTCCACAAGTACACACACTCATATAATTAAAGGAGAGGGCCAACATGGCTGAAGTCTGCTTTAAATGAAGAAGTTGGACATAAAGAGAAAGTTTAAAGAAGATGGACTTCTAAGGCTTTGCTATCTAATTTGATACAAAATCCATAACTATTTTAAAGTTGTGACTTTTACAATCGAACTTACTTCTTTGTATTTGTCCTTCCATTATCTGAAAAGCATCTAAATCCATCAATGATTCTGTAAGGTTAGATTTGGGGTGTGAGGCCTGGAGCAGGAAGCTGAAATCAAAGCCATGCTCTACGTTCTCTTTCTTCATGAAGAAAGGTAAAGAGGTGTGACATCTCATCTGTAACACTGACTGATCTTCACTTGGAAAACATGCCACTTGTTGATCTGGACATGGTCTGGATGTTGATGCTATTTGGCTAAAAGGCAAAACCAAAACCAAACAAAATACAGTGTGAAAGTAAGTGGAAGGAGCCTATCCACTTCAAATAATCGTATGACTAGAGAATAAGCAAACAAGAAGTTTGCAAGATCCAAGAATGAAGAGGCATATTTTCTTTTTTCATCCACCTGGCAGGCTGTGGCTCTCCCTGGAAGCTTCCAATTGCAATGGCAGAGACTGAGTGAGAACTAGTGAGAATCAGTGACAAATGTAAACCAAGCAACACTAGGAATGGAAAAACATATTGCCCACCTTCCCCTTCTGGACAAAAACATTGCTTCCAGTGTGTATTTGTTATGAATCATCAGGAAGGTGTGTCAGAAGGATTCTGAAGACCAGATGTGCCTTTCTTCTTTATGAAATATGCTACGGTCAGCCTGAAAGACTAGAGGCTGTATGGACAAGCCTCAGATTCCTACCACCTGCTTTCTGAAGAACAAAAAATCCAAATATGGGAAAAGATAAATACAGGGACTGAAAAGAGGTACAAAAATATAAAAATATATTTTATATATATATATTTATAACTATAAAAATATAGTCTAATGTAATCTTAAAGCTGTATGCAAGATAATTGTCTGTTTTTAAGAAGTCAAATGCTCATGTAAAAGCATATACCATATATTTTCTCATATTGCACCAAATTATTTGTTCATCTAGTGCAATATCCTGCCTCCAGCAATGGCCAGTAACTGATGTGGGGAAGACAGAAACACTACATGACATACACAGCTGTATGTAACATCTGGCAACAAGGAAATCTTTTCTTACTCAAAGACTACAACCAGCTTTGTCTCCATTTTTGTGTGCTTACCTGCAAATTAAATATTAATACTACTGACCTGTATTTTCCTAGAGCTTTGTATGACTGGTGCATTTCTTTCTTTATTTTATCTGCATTCTGAAGAGCAACAACACTTCCACAACCTGCAACAATACATTAGTATTTGCACAAAAGTAGTATAATTCACTGATCAGTAAACACAATGCAAATGCAGTTAATTTTGGACATTAAAATATTATTATAAATAAAACCAGGAAGAAACTATCAGGAAAAAAAAAGAAATCAACAGCCAAACAAACCCAAAACAACAAACTCAGCATGTTTCATTTGAGTAAGATATCTACACATACTTCCTTCTACTATTTTTGGAAATGTAAATGCATAAATGTAAATTATTTTTTGTTATTTAGGTAAGTGTATTAATTCAATGTACTATAAGGGCAAAGAACAGCTAAAAAAATTCCAGTTACAGCTCCTATTTCAGTAGAACAGAAATACAATAAAAAATATTGACAGAAACTCTACAAAAGAGTATTTAAAAATTTGAAAGCTATTTGTCAAATCTTAGGGCTTTTCAAAGGTGGAAAATAACTCTGAGTTCGATTTCAATTTTTTTTTTTGTGGTTGCTTGATTTTGACAAGTAGCCAGATTTCAGCTTAACGCTGTCTTTTTCTTTCTTCAGATCCCACGTTACACTTTATATGTACAAGCTTTGATCTGACTACCTTCTTTGCCGCTTCTCTGATTTGTTTGGTTGTCAGACATACCGTCCTTAGATGTATTAAGGTCCAGAAACCTGAAAAAAATGTTTCAATAATTGGTTTCTGATTCACATGCACAAAGCAGTAATTTATATTTTGTTATTTCAGAGCCATAAGTAAGACAAAAGCAACATTTAAAAGGTACTTGAAATTAGTAAAGATGTTATAATTTAACTTAACAACCAATGCCCTGTCCTGTGAATATACAGAACAACACAGTTCAGACACAGGTTTTTTTGCTAAAATCTCAACACACGCAGTGTTGAATAAGACATGAAAGCTGTCAGTATTATTTTGCTGATACCCTCCATACTGTTGGGCCAGAAAGTCAACACTTCACATCTGAGAGATAATTACATTTTTAACATATTACTGAGAAAACAACTCTAAATTAAATGTAGGTCTTTCTCTACTTGGCCAGAGCTATCTCTCAGCAAAAGAGGCTGAACATTCAAAACTTTCTGAGCACAGAATAGATTGTAGACCGCAGCCTCAACAAATCTCTGATAGCTTATTCTAAAGAAACATGAAGTCAACTGCAATCTTCCTATACATTTCAGGGGAGTATGTAATTTACTTTGTAAATAATTTTAAAATGTCTTGAGAAGTAATTGTCCCATAATACAGTCCAGTTGTAAACATATGTTCAAAATTTAGCTAGGCATCTTTCTCTGTGAAGCCAGCACGTCCAGAATAATTTGACTGAAAACATTAACAAAAATCTCATTGACATCAACATGGTAAAAATTTCACGTTATTTCAGTGGCAATGTATTATCTCTCAGTATTTAAAAGATCAGCTTTTTAAGTGTTTAGAAATTGTACATGTTATAAAAAATAACCATAAAAATCACAATAATAGCCATTATATTTTGCCTTTTTCGCTGCCATTGAATTTCTGTGACCCATGGCAGGCATCTGACTGAATCTGATACAACCAAGAGTCGCTACTCTAGACAGTCAGCCTATTAACTTACTAGTAGCAAACTTTTGCTTCCCACTTAAAACTACTGTGTTGTCAGAAACAGCAACTTAACCATGAGTGCACTTTTCCATGAACATCTTAGTACCTCTGTACGTTTAGAAAAATGTGTTATTCAAACTGTACTGTGTTTATAAAACTAAAACACCTTTAAACTTACACTAAATTAGTATTATAAACATTTGATATTTTAACTCCTGGTTGTTGAGAGACATAACAGTAGCTTGAAGAAATGATTCACTGAGCTATCTATGTACCACGTGTAGCCTGGTCCCATAAACTGCTGGCCTTCTACAAGGCTCTATGAGCTCTCTGTGCCTACGTGAGAAGCTTAAAAGAGATCTCCATCAGGATTCTCAAATAATGCTTTGATACCTTTAAAGATCAGTTTTCCAACCTTGAATTATTCCATATAGAGATTAACTCATCCAAAAACAATCGCTTTACAAGGCGCTTGTTCAAACTGACAGCAAAGCCATAGTCTACGAGGCAGCCTGTATGAAAGTAGTTTACTTGCAGTGGAATTTAATGCTGCAGCTCTTGCAGAAAAGCACATGCTCAGGGAAATTCAGACATCTGGTAGCCCTATTCCTGACTTCAAGATTTCACAGCAGTTCAGGTCTTAAAGCACACACCCATGAAGCAGAATATGTAGATTCTTTTTCACACCTAGCCCAGATGCTTATATTATCTTACAAAGCTGTCCAAGCTCTATAAATCTTTCTTAACACAGCAAGAAAACAAGCTAATTATCTAAATGTGTGAAGTTTTACAATATATTAAGTGGGGCATATTTATTTTAGGTTGTTATCTGATATAAAACACAGTATGTATTTTCACTTCATTATTCTGTTAATTCAAAATTTTCTATCTACTGTATCTGTATTCTTAACTGCAGCTGATCTAAAGGTGTTTCTTTCTGAAAAATGTGGTACCTTTGGGTAAGAATTTAGTCCTACATTAGTACTATTGTGGCAAAACTACCTAATGTTCAACTACTACTAAATGTAAGATGTTTGTAACAGATGGAAAGTAACAATCAGTGCTGCTGTCCCTCTGTAAGGAATCCTTCCATTTCGAAGTGAGTACAGAGGTCAATGGACATGAAGGGCCTATGTAGCTTTTGTTTGATTCAGTAGCATTTTGCCACTCAATACTGCTAGTGAGGAAAAGAAATAGGCTTTTGTTACTGATTTGATTAGCAAAAAATATAATTACCCAGAAACATACAGCAGCCTTCCCAAGAGACTCATGAGTTTATCCTAGATTAAATTAATTTTTTATAACAATTTTATGTAACACTATTTATCTGAAGAATGCAAATTATTTTATAACTACGTAACAGCCAGACATAGGACAGTATTATTCTTAGTTTACAGAAATCCATTAAAATCCATTTAATCCATTAAAACGTTTATCCCATTATACTAGCCTGTTAAGAGTCATATTAGATAGTCAACTCCAAATTTTGCCATATTTTAATATACATACGAAAACCCCTTCAAAATAATAACTGAAAAAGTTCTATAAAAGTCATAAACAACATCTTACCTGGTGCTTCAGTAGCAAAGTGTGAAAGAGGCACAGCAATGCAAAGAGAAGTTACATAGCATTTTTAGCTCACAGCTTTCTTCCTCTTGCTGGACAGCAAGGAATTCAATGCAGTAATTACACATACTTCGATTTTATTTTCTGGATGTTTTCTAACTGCGGAGCACGTAGTATTTATTACTTTATGACTGAAGTACTATCTTCTATAGACATGAGGCTGTTGAGTTTACAGGATGTTGCCGAGGCAACACCCTCCCCCACACACACCTCCCCGCGGGGGGGGCATTTTGCTTGGGCAAGTTTAATTCAAACAGCAGCAGTGGCCTGTGAAAACAAACACAGCCCAGCTAAACGGTAGCGTATTAGAATTCTAATCGCAACACAGATATTCCAGCAGCCAAAGCGAAGCATATTTCTCTCGTTTACCTTCATTTATGTTTTTATTACTTCATACATTTTTACATCATTTTAACTTTGCTTTCAGCCCCCTCACCTAAACAGTCCCCACTACCCATGAATAGTTCTGCCTCCTTTCAGGCAGCCTTAAACAGCAGACCTCAAGGATGCTTTTTAATTTAATTTTTAATTTATATTTTTTTAAGTGGCAGACTGCG